AAACCAAATTTTGGTCGCCCCCAAAGTACACATCCCACCCGGGCGGTTCTGGGGCCCGGGAAAGCCGCAAGACGCGGCAAGAGTGCCACGAGAGGCCCCCAAGACGGTCCCCGAGGGCCCCAGATCGCCGAACGATCGGTCCAAGACGCCAGAGTAGCCTCCAGGCAGCTCGATGTTTATAACACGCCCCAAGAGGCCTCCAAGAGCACACCCAAGACGGCCCCATGGGCCAAAAATCATAGATTTTGGCGTTCTCGCCTTGTCGGCTTCCCGACGCTCCAAGACAGCCCAAGAGGCCCCCAAGATCGCACAAGAGTACTCCAAGAGGACCCCAAAACGACCCAAGAGGGCCCCAAGACCGCCCAAGACCGCCCAAGAGGCCTCCAAGACAGCCCAAGAGGCCCCCAAGACAGCTCCAAGAGGGAGCCCAGACGGAGAACCCAAACGGACATTTCGAGCTCTATGCCTGAGAGGCTCCCAGGAGGCCCCCAGAGGGCCCCAAGAAGCCCCCCAAGAGGTCCCACGAGGCCACCAAGAGACCCCCAGGAATCCCCGAAAGGCCCCCAGAGCCTCCCAGGAGGCCCCAAAGAGCCTCCCAAGGGGCCCCCAAACTACCCCCAAGAGGCCCCCAACAGCGCTCGTCGTCGTCGCCGTCGCCGTCGCCGTCGTCGTCTTCGCCGCCGCTGCCGCCGCCGCCGCCGTCGTCGTCGTCCTCTTTGATGGTCGGCGGCACTGGCCGTAAGGCCTTTCCAATAGATCGACGACGGATACACGCTGCAGCACGTCGTTCGTCCAGTGCTGAGGCTACTGGCAGACTGAGTGTAGCAATCGGCTGGACTTCGGAAAACTTGACCACCGTGCCCCCCGGTACATAGTGGAGTGCAACAGTCGAGCGTCTTCAAATCCACAACGGACAGAGGGGCCCCCCCCGCCCCCCCCCAGACTGGCCCAAGACAGCCTCAGAGGGCGCGGCAGACGCCCAAGACGGCCCAGGAGGGCCCCAACAAGACGGCCACAGAGGCATTCGAGAGGGCCCCAGAGATGGAGCCCAAAGACGCCAAAGATGGGGAACTCGCAGAGACCCCGGGAGTCCTCCCTCCAGCATGGCCCCATGATGCCCCCAAGAACCCCCCAGGGGGCACCCAAGCCCTGAAAATGCTCAAGAGGCCGCCCCCATCGGCCTCCAAGGCCGAACCCGGAAGCTACGCGACAGACGCGGAGGAAGAGGAACCCGAATCAGCAGCAGCTGCACGCAGGAGGCACGGCGGGAAGTGGCAACAGAACGCATCAAAAAACGCACACGAACTCGGAGGCCGTCCATCTCTGCTTCTGGGGGGCATGGGGAATGGCGGAAGCATCTTGAACAAGTTCGTTGAACGCGTTCAGATATCCACAAAATGTTGAGCCAGCACAACGGTTCCAGATATGATCCCCCAGCAGTAACCTCATACGCATTGACGCTGCTAACTGCGCCACTGGCTGCATCAGACTGATGGGCAACGCCAGCAAAATTCCGCCATCGGGCAGCATCTTCGAAACACCGCCAGTGGCCGCTTGCGCAGAGCCAGACAGAGTCCGCCTTGCGGGCTCCTCGGCCAGTGAGACGCTCGGGCTCCGAAGCGGCTCGAGCCATGGATACAGAGGGCTCGAAATCGGCTGCTCTGGGGATGTGATTGGGCCTCATCGGGTCTAAGAGGGATGCTAGTGCGGACTCGGGCTGCCGTGTAGCGCTTTTAGACCGCATGGCGTCTCTCCGAGGGCTCTCTTTGACTATGTCAATGCTCGCCTGGAGCTGGCTTGGGCGATCATGGGCATGTTGTTGGGACCTCTTGGGCCATCTTGAGGCATTGTGAAGTCCCTGTGGCGCCGCCAGGGTTTACCATGAGGTTACCTTGCTCTAGGCCCCAGATAGGTCACCAAACAAGAAATAACACACATACGATTTCTAGAACATCTCCGATACCATAATACAATGTGAGATAGCATACAGTGATCTTATGCACTACGTATTACACACCACACACACATACACAGACACGAGCTCCGGTTCTCTCTCTCTCTCTCTCTCTTAATGTTTCTCCTCTCTCTCTCTGTCTATCCCTCTTCCTATCTCTCTCTCTCTCTCTCTCTCTCTTCTCACAAACTGAATTATCCGCGGCGGCGACGGGCTCCTCCACTGAGGCCCAAGAGAGCACAGCAAGATCGAACTTCCCCCTCCTCCCCCTCCCCAGGTTTCCACAAGCCCTGGCCCCGCCCCCCTCACCCAACCCCAGATCGGCACTTCAAAGATGAGGCCCTCTTCAGGGCACCATCTTCGACCCACCGACCAAAGCTCTCATCCGCAAGACTGCTTCTTCATGCCAGCTAATTGTTGGACCGTCCCGAGGCCCGAAACGCGACTCCAGCAACACCAACAGAAATCCCCCGACCCTTCAGGGCGAGGGGTGAACAGAGGGAAGTCTGGCGAGGGTGCGAAGGATGGAGACAAGCAGGAGCAAAGAGGACGAGCGATGCGGAGAAGTGGCGGGGACAGGGAGGAGAAGGGGACAACCACCGCGGTGATCCAAGTGAGCGACGACGAGAAACGGCTCCCACCCGAGAAGGCATGGGGACCTCGCGCCACGGCTTGCGCGGGCCACCAGCGCGGGACGCTTCACAGGAAACAAGGGCGCTCACTCACGACTTTGCTGAGAAGACATGGAGTCCGAGTACATACCGCGCATCATCGCCAATGCATCGGCGACGTCAGCGAAGCACCGGCGCCACCGGCGTGAAGAAAATCTGGCCACGCATGGAGTCGCAGTATCGGCGATGGGGAGCGATCCTGCGACTCCAAGAGCTCGGACCTCACTGGGGAAGCCTAGACTTGCGCAGGCAGCTTACATGCAGCCGAACCCGTTTGCCTGCGTCGCTCAGGTGGCTCCGCCGCGAAGGCCACCGCTCCCAAAGGTTGCGGGCCCGACGAAGGCCCCCCAAGGCCGAACTCGCGCAAAGCGTCCGTCTTGGGCTCTGCAATACGTTGGAGCCCGTGTCTGCGTTACAGTCAACCAGTGTTGTAAGCATGCGCGATAAGGATGCAAGGGCCTTGGACGCCCATTCCAAAGCTTTTCGAGCGGGGCGAGGCCAACGAAGCTGGCGAAGGATGGACCGAGGAGGCAAGGATGCAAGGGTACCCTTGGGAAGGTTGCCCATCCTTACTATGCGGGTTGACTGTATTCGCGATGACGCCCGTGACCGGCTCCGAAGGTATATGCTGTAAAGCTTCCAGCTTCCGAAGTCCGCGTGGCTTTCTTGGAACGGCGCTGGACCCTCATGTCTGGCGCGCGGAGCGCGCCAGGGGCGACGCCAGGGGCGACGCCAGGGGCGCCGCCAGGAGGCCCCAACGTCGATCCGAGAGATCGGCGCGGAGCTCCGAAAGAGTACATGCTCATCCCGCCCTTCTCTTCCAGGAACTATCGCCAGGAGGGCAAGAGATGACCCCCCCCACAAATCTAGCCGGGACCCCCCTGGGCCCACCCCCCCTGGGCACCCCCTCGGGTTATATCTCGGGCGTGTCCCCCTACAGGGGGATTTTGAGCGAAAAACACGGGATACCCCCCAAAAAATCCAAAATGCTCCTAACTACTACGAAAAATCGTTCCCCGACTACTTTTGTTACTATTTGGGGGATTCTTCCTCCTGTAGATGGACAGGCCCGACTGACTCCTCGGGGGGCGCGCGCGCCCCTCAGCGCCCCTCAAACGGGGACTCCACTAACGGGTACTTTGACCAGTGACCCAGCGAACCCAACCCTTCCCGATGTGGGCAAAACTGCAATGCAAGAAAAAGGCCCTAAAGTGGCAACTTCCGGCAAACATTCAAAGAACCCGTTAGTAAGTACCCGTTACGGTGCCGTTGAGCCCCGGAGCGGCGGCTCTGGCCGGAGGCTACTCCGAGGAGGCTGGGCCCCGCGCCCGACCGGCGGCCGCCGGGCTCACCGCGCCAGCCGGCGCGCCGCGCTGCGAAAGCCCCGCCGCTGGGGCGACCGCGCGGCGCCCGCGGCGCAGCACCACACGCCGCCGCGCGGCGTCCGCACCTCAAATCCCAGGATGCCCCGTGGTGCCCATATCTCCGAGATGTTCTTTTGCCCCATCCACCTCCCCACGTTTGCCGTGTGTCCCTGGGAATCGACGGTTCGTTGAGCCTGTCTGTTTCTCCCCTCCTGAATCTCTGCGGCCTCTGTGGGTCCCAGTCATATGCACCACCACCACCACTTCCATCCACACCCCTCCTCCCAGACCCCCGACGTCATGACTTTTTGCTCGACGAGACCCCCAAGGAGGTCTGGACCCATTCCCCGGACCGGGCTCTCATCGTAAATCGTCTTGGCGGCCCCGACTCAAGGTCAGGGCCCCCCACAGGCCGAAAATCGCAAAAAACCTCCCGTCGTGATTTTTTCACAGCGCGAGGGGGTCTGGGTGCACGGTTCCCCCCGGGGGCGTAGGCGACCCGAGGAGGAGGAGGAGCAGGAGGAGGAGAGGGAGCAGGAGAAGGGGGAGGGGCAGGAGGGGATGGAGGAGGAGGAGGAGGAGGAGGAGGAGGGGGAGGAGGAGGAGGAGGAGGAGATGGAGGAGGAGGAGAAGGAGGAGAGAAGGAGCAGGAGGAGGAGGAGGAGGAGGAGAAGGAGGAGGGAGGAGGAGGAGAGGAGGAGCAGGAGGAGCAGGAGGAGGAGGAGGAGGAGGAGGAGGAGGAGGAGGAGGGGGAGAAGGAGGAGGAGGAGGAGGAGGAGGAGAAGGAGGAGGAGGAGGAGGAGGAGGAGGAGGAGGAGGAGGAGGAGGAGGAGGAGGAGGGTCGCCCAAGCCCTTCGGAGAGACCCTCCAGGGCTGGGCCCTGCCCTCCTCCTCCTCCCCTCCTGGGCCCCGGTGCGAGCCTCCCAGGCGGCGCACGGCCCGCCCTCCGCCGCGGCCAGCCGCCTCGCGGGCCGCAGCCGGCAGCTGGCCCACGCGACCAACGCCCGCGCCGCGGGCGCCTCCGGCGCCGCGGGCCCGGCCAGGTCCAGGAGCCGCCGGCAGGCCACCGCCCGGGGAGGGGGCGGGTCCTCTGCGGCAGGGCGGCGAGCTCAGGGGCACGCCTGCTCCGTGGAGCGGCGGGCCCGCTCTCCTCTGCAGGGCGGCGGGCGCGGTGCGTTGCCGAGGCCAGGCCCGACAAGCAAAAAAAAAACGCCTGCAGAGGAGATGGGTCTGCCCCTGGCCAGGCCTTTCCTGGGCACAGGAGCGGTGTACATCCACCGCTCCTGGGCCCTGGGTGGGCCCCCCTATTTTGGGGGGGCAACCGGGTACCTAGGTCACCCAACTTCGCGCATCGTGCGCCGCGATGCGCGGCATGCGAATACCTTTGCGCCCACGCGCTGCCCAAGGGCAACCGCTCTGGTCCAAACCGCGACGTGCGAAGCGCGATGCATTTCAAGCACGAGGAGTGCCCTGCACGGGTGCCGATGCCGCTGCTTCACGGGCCTCCCCAGGGGTGCGCTCTGGGACCTGCTTGAATCACCGCGGTGTTTGCTAAGGGGGTGGGCGGTGATAAATGGATGCCGTCGTGGCTTGCATATGGCCTCACCTACAGCCCATACGTGGGCTAGAATTTCCCTGAGTGGCTGGGGGGGTAAAGACCTGGGCGAAGCAGGCTCCGCACACTTAAAACAGAAGTGCCGAGCTCATCCAAGCCGCATACGGCGCCTGTACCTACTTACACGATTCAGCCAGATATCGACCAAATTAGGACCTCCTATCCCTTTAGAACCCACCGCGGTGATGGAAGTGGGTGAACCACAAATTACCGATGCCGCTGCTCCACGGGCCTCCGGGGCACGGTCTGGCCAGGATCTCGAGGAGAATCCGGCCTTGGAGACGAGGGCTTTCCAGGACGATCATCGGCATCAGCACCTCTTCCTCTGAGGTGGCGAACGGCAAACGTATCCAGATCAACATACAGCGAGCATGGACGCTTGCTGTATGTGGAGATGCCCTTCGCCCGACGTGAAGTCCAGTGCGCGGGCCGTGTCACAGCGCTGGCGCGGTGCCATGCCTGATGGGCCTGTTTTCCACCATCACCACCATAAGTTGGAGGGGGAGGGGGTCCTCCTCCTCCTCCTATTCCTCCTCCTCCTCCTCCTCCTCCTCCTCCTCCTCCTCCTCTTCGTCCTCTTCCTCCTCGTCCTCCACCTCCCTCCCCCCTCCAACTTGTGGCGATGGTGGAAACTAGGCCCAGCAGTGCCCAGGCCCCCCGCCGCGTCCCGCGAGGCGGCGGCGCCCAGGTCGCAGACGAACTGGCGCAGGCCGGCGCTCAGGGCCCGCAGGCGAGAGGCCGCGCCGTCGCAGCGCCCCGCGCCCGCGCCGGCGGAGGCGGCGCCGCGCAGCGTGCCGACCACCGGCCGCACCGCACCCCTCTCGAGCGCCGCGCGGGCCTCCTGGTCCAGCGCGCCCCACCTCGGCGGAGGGGAAGGCGGTGTATACGGATGCCGCGGCCCGTCGCGGAGAGCTCCCGTCGCCAGGGCCGGGTTCTGCCCGCAGTCCTGCCTCCTCCTCCTCCTCCTCCGCCTCCTCCTCCTCCTCCTCCTCCTCCTCCTCGTCCTCCTCCTCCTCCTCCTCCTCCTCCTCCTCCTCCTCTGCTGATCCGCAGCCTCAGCAACAGACCCGCTTTAGGTCTGATGGCCAGGACGCACCCCATGAGAGGCCCGTACCCTCACCTAGACGAGGTGGCAGAGGGAGGGGGGGGGCGACTCGTCTCGGCTGGCAGCGGCTGCACAAATGTAGGAGCGACGGCCGATTGAAAATTACAGGACACTGTCTTCTTCGGGCATGCGGTGGCACCGATGGCGCGTGCGTTCGATTCGGCAGGATGGCCGACTCCGCGTTGGCCGCTGCAGCTAATTCGGAGATGCGCCTCCAGAGGTACATGTCCAGGCGGTGGGGGTCAACGCGCACTCGGGGGCGCATGCGAACTATTCGGGCGAGAACGCCAACGCGAGACAACCGCCAGATCGCGAATTGCTCGATGCAGGGGCATCGCGATTCCGAACGCTGGGCGAGGTCGCCAGAGGCTGCCCACCCTGGACGGCACTCCGAAGATCACCACAGCTAGGTCCGGGTACGCCTCAAAAACCAGAAAACATACCCGTACCTAGCCGAAGCGTCTGAGCACCACCCCGCCTAAGTCCGGGTATGTTTCCTGGTTCCGGCCCATGCCCGTACCTAGTCCTGGTGGCGAACAGGCCGACAACGGTCTTCAGCAAACCGCGAGCCCCCCAGAGCCGTCCCCGACGCGGCCGCTGCAGCCCCCTGGGGCGCGCGACATTGCAACGTCGCTCATCAAGGCAATCCCAGACGCACTGGTTGCATAGCGAGGACATGTGGCTGTTTCTTGTTGTCCACTGAGACAGGCGCCACCACTCGCGTGCGGCTTTGAGCCGCGCGCGCACCACGATGCTCCCAGACGCCCACATCAGAAATGAACGCTCGTCGCTGCAATCAGACAGCCAATCATTGAATGCGCCGTTGCGTCTTGACGCGCGGATGTTGCACTGGCGCGCTTGCGACAAGCTGATCGGGCACACTGAGAACCGCCCAATTCCGCGGGCAGCTTATCTCACCCTGGCCGACCCCGGGAAGGGTATGTTCCGGACCAGTGACCCCCGGCGCAAGCGACGCTGACTGTACTTTCCTCATCGCCTCCCTCCTGCTAAATTCGACGCTGGCGTGCTACTGCACATGCACTCACGCACCTGCATGTGATCGACAACCGATGTGCCGTCTAGGCACGACTCCCGACCGTCCTGACCTGCACGGTTTCCGCCGAGGCCGTAGGCGACCCGAGGAGAAGGAGGAGGAGAAGGGGAAGGAGGAGGAGGAGGAGGAGGAGGAGGAGGAGGAGGAGGAGGAGAGGAGGAGGACGGGTCGCCTAAGCCCTTCGGAGAAACCCTCCATCCCGACCAGCCGACCACCTGTGCAGCGCGTCGGCGGCCACCACGGCTTCGCCCGAGCCCCGCTCGCGCAGCGCCGCGGGGCAGGCGCGCCCCCGGCCCATCAGCAGGGCCCTGAAGCGGCTCATCGATCCCCTCTGCGCGGCCGCGTGGCCGTGCCCCGCCGCCTCGCAGGCCACGAGCGCGCTCGCGGCGCCGAGGGCGCTGTCGCGGCCACGGGCCCGTGCCGCGCGCAGCGTGCCGATGGCCGCCTCTGGGGAAGCCAAAAGGTACCGATACCGCTACTCCCCGGGCCGCTCCCGGGGTGCGTTCTGACCAGGATTTCGAGGCGAAGCCAGCGGTGGCGACAACGGATGCCCAGGAGGCCCAGCAGCGGCGACGAGGGCCTCCCAGCAGGCCCCCAAAGGGGAAAACGAAGGGAGGGTAGAGGTATGGGTACCTTTTCCTCCTCTGAACCTCCCACATCCAGGCTGCAGCGCACGCCTGCACTGCGGTGGCGCAGCACATGGCGTCCGGCTCCTCCGGCGCGCAGTGCGCCAGCAGGTCCACGGCCCTCTGCCACTGCCGCGCGCGCGAGCAGGCGCCCAGCGCCACTCCGAGGCTCACCAGGTCCGGGGCCAGCCGGCGCCTCGGCAGGCTGCCGAGGATCAGCAGGGCCTGGTCCCACCTCCTGCGCAGGAGCATCGAAAAACATAGCGTAAACTTTCGGAGCTCCGCGAAGGATGTCCTTGGATCGGCGCCGGAGGCGACGCCGGGGGCGGCACAGGAGGCGCCGCCAGGGGGGCCCAGCGCCGATCCTGGAACTTCGTGCGGAGCTCCGAGAGTTTGGGCCTGGAAATGGGTACCAACACCAATGCAGGGGTGTGCCTCCACCAGGGGCAAGATGATCCCTGATTTCGGTGTTGGTGGAGCTCGAATCGTGCCAACACCACCGAGGTCAGGAGCATCCTTCCCAGGTGGAGGCGCACCGCCGATACTGGTGTTGGTGCCAACCTCCAGGCCTCTGTGCTTGCGCAGTGCCTTGCCTGCTTCGGCGTCCTGGCTGCTGCACAGGCGCAGGCCGCAGCGTTCAGCAGCGCCAGGCCCGGCCGCAGGCCGCCACGCTCGGCCTCGTGTTGCGTCTCTTCGGGGGACCTCGTCTGTCCCGTCGCGCCCCTCGCCGCGCCGAATCCGTGTCGAACCCATGTCGGGCCCGTCGCATCCGCGCCACGTCCGCGTCGAGCCCTCGTCGGACCCGCGCCACGTCCGCGTCGACTCCGCACCGAGCCCCCGTCGGGCACCAGGGGAGATGCAACCTTCGGGGCGGACGGGCGGGGCCCCCCGAAGGGGCCACGCAGCCGGCCTCGCGCGCGAGCGCCAGCGCCCGCTCCCACTGCCGCCCCTGCTCGCACGCGCTGGCCGCCACGGCGTAGACGTCCGCGCTCGGCTCCAGGCGGGCCGCCCGCAGGTCTGCGGAGAGGCGCAGGGCGCCCTCCCAGCGCTGCCCCCTGGCGCAGGCGGCGACGCAGGCGTGGAAGCTGGTCTCGGGAAGAGGAGGAAAGACGGCAAGGACAGTCAATCGGTCACAGGCCGTGCGCCCCGGCGGGCGCACAGGCAAGACGAGGTCTGCACGTCGGCACGCCCGTCGCTTGCACCGACCTGCGAGAGGGGGGAGGGCAGAAGAGGCAGATCCTGGGAAGGGGGGACCGGCAATTCCTGGGAGGCCTACGCCGACACGAGCCGGGGCTGCGAAGCCCGAGGAAAGGGCCACGACGCCAGACTGTGGCGCGAATCGCGCCCAGGACTGAGCCCGAGTGAGCGACCTTGATCCCGAGTGGAGCGGGATCGAGCCCGATTGGGCCGGCTTTCGACCACGGATATACCAGCGCCGATGCTGAGTTGGGCCTCCCAGAAGCTACATCCCAACAAATAGAAACTTTCGGAGGTCCGCGCGGACCTCAGAAGGTCATGCTTGCAGCGCGGCCGGATGACGGAGGCGCGGCAGGGATGAAGGGCACTCAGACGCTCAGACTGAAGCCGAAGTTGGAAGCCCACTGACCATGGCCAAGGGCTGAGGGCTGGGTCGAGAGCCAAGGATGCAACAGGAATTTCCCAGACGCCCCACGCCATGATCTTGTTCACAACGTGGCCACCCGGAAAATCTCGGCGGGCTGGTGGCACTGGTGGGTGGCCCACATGGGGAGTGAAGAGAAAAAGGCCCTACAGGGGCATGGTAGGGCCATTCTGCAGGGTCCCTGCTGGCTCCAAAAGGGGCACCGAAGGGCTTCTTTACTGAGGGGCAACGATGGCGGGGGGACTGGCAGATAGGGAGATGCATCG